GGTTACCACTCCAAGTCACTAGCTGGGCCTATTGATTCCTCCCACAATCCTGACCCACCCTCCTCTGGACTCACTGTGCCTCAGTTTCTTCCCCTCGATGGAATGAAAAATAGCAGCACCCGCCACAGCCAAGAGATGAATTCTGAGCACTTACCACGGGCACTTTATGGACATAAAATACCTCTCGCTGTGGGACAGATAACCAGGGCACCAGAGTAGTGGTGAAGAGATGTGAGGCTTAGAGGAGTCGCAGGCTTCAGAGCTCAAGTTTCCCTCTGCCTCCCAGCTGGACAGTGCCTGAAGCCAAGGAGCTGAGAATCTCCTGATCCACACCCTATCCATACCTCACCACCAGACCTCTTGACTCCAGGCAAGAGCCTAGAGGGTCAGGAGAGGAGAGGGAGAGAACCTTCAGTAAAATTGTTACTCTGAAGTAGAACCTGCAGTTACGGTTCTGATACAAATGGTACTGAACTAAAGTTAAGCCCCAGCTGGAGAGCTGACTAGGAAGGCTTGTTCTTCCCAAGAGCGTGACTCTTCCACCTGGCCCAGCCAGTGGAAGGGGCAAAGGTATGTGACCACACTTGGGAAGGTGATGTTGGTGAGCTTTAGCATCTTATTCCCATAGTGAGAGAGGTGTTTCAGTATAGGAATAGACAGGGGCTATTAAGCATGTCAACTTGCCTCCTCCCATACAGCAGCTATGCTAACCCCCCAGCCTCTCCTGTCTGACCCTATTCATTCTTCTGGCCCAATCTTGGAGAACCGTCAACACCATTCACCTTTTCTTGGTGGAAGGAGAGGAAGAGAGAAGTGAAGAACAGAAGATGCCTTCTCCAAGGTCAATTGCTGATGTCTCTTGATCTTGGTACAGGGTGGGGGTTGGACAGTAGGCATCAGGTGACTTCCTTCTACAAATTCTAGAGAGCTGGGGCATTAGACTTGGGGACACTTAGAATATGCCCCTTTCATACCACCAAATAAAGACCTTTGGGGGAGGGTCTTTCTCTTATAAGTCTGTGAGTTGAAGTCTCCTTTCCCTAGTCCTCCCCATCCCCAAAGAGGCCTGGAGGCATAGCCCAGTGGCCTAGTGGGAACTAGCACCGCCCCCCCAACCACCTTAAGATGTGTGTGGACCTGACCAGTGCCCTCAGATCATAATTAGTGTAATTATTATTTACTTTGTGTATTTGTTACACTGTGTGCGTGATTGCCTTTGTTTGTTAAGGGTGTCTGAGGAGTATGGGGCTGACAAGGGCACTGAAATGCCGGGAAAGGACTTTTTCACTGAGATCAACGATTCCTGGAGGGAACCATTGCAAAAAGGCCATCAGGCAGTTTTCAAGTTATGTGACAGAGGGCAAAGATGGCCATAGGGTGCTCTGAGTTTTGGAATGGTCACATGACACAATCCAGCACTTGAACCTGAAAAGAGAAAAATAAAAGCAGTCAAAGAATTTAGAATTCAGTGATGAGCTCTTCTCCCTAACCAAGTGCCATATTTACACCTCAGAGACCAGGAACAGAAGAGGATCTGAGAGAGGATGAAACCTTATGCTCAAGAACTAAGAAGACGGGTGGGGTCTTTGGGGGAAGGAAAAACCACTAGGGGCATTTTGGAAGAGGGCTGGGACGTGCAGCCCAAGGAAGGAGACCTAGAATACCACCTCTAGAGAGCATGATCCAAAACAGTCCCAAAGATTAAAAAACCCTCTCCCAGCTTCCAGAAAACGAAGATGTAAACGTTCTCAAGGTCCAGCTAATGTCTATCCTACTCTGCAGTTCCATGATCCTAGGTTTCCTCATCAGTTTTACTAACACCTATAAACTAAACGAACATAGCCATTCACGTTACCAATGTACCAAGAGTGGTCGAGAATCTCAAAAATTTCTCCTATGTACCTACAGCACACTTCCAAAGCATGAGTTGGGTGTACCAAATGAATCTTGCCTTTTATTTTTTAAAAAAGGAAAGCTACTGTAACATCTACCTGATCGAGAATGAGGGGACAGGGCTACTGAAGGTTCAATGTGCCACTATTGCCTTCCCTGTCCCGTCAGTTTTACTGACAGATTGACTCCACCTCAAACCAACAAGACTGATGTTGAGAGGACAAAAGTACTACATACTGTAAACTAACAAGGAACTGTTTTATTCACACCTACCCCTCCTTTTTACCTGAGCTAAAAATAGGTTGTCTCCCCCTGCTGCTCACTGTTTCCTACTTTGAGAAGGCACCCAGGAGAAATTGCAAGATGACTTTTATCCCCAAACATCTTCCAACCCAATGCATGAGTAGCTATCCTATACCCTATCTTTGTTCATTTTTGGGATGTTGGGTGCCCCAAGCTAAGTACCAGTAGACAGTAGCAATTACAGCTTGTGCTATCTAGTGAGGCAGAAGCAGGGAAGTCTACCCCAGGAAACAATGTCAATTTTCCAGCCCGAGCTACCTGTAAGGGACAATGAGGACTCTCCCAACCTCCTAATGTACCTGCACATGTAATGGGTATACACACACACTAATTTCACTCAACCCCTTACCCTCTAGTTGGAAGCTACTCAGGGAATATCCTACTGTAAATCACCCGGTAAAATTAAGAGCTAATATTTATCAATTACTATGCAAATTACGGTAAGCAAATTGTGCCAAGTACATAATACAGCAATTCTGAGTTTCTAAAAATCACACCTAAGTAGTTGCTACACAATATTCCATTCTAATACATTCTATTAATAGTGATCTGAGAGGTGGAAAAACTAATGGCAGGGACAGCTGAGAAAAGACAAGAATAAAACTGGAAGCACCCTGGACTGAAAGGGTCTGCAAAGGTGTGAAGACTGCCATTAATTTGTAATTCCTTTGGAGTTTAGAAACAATGGACATGCAGCAAGAGAGGTGTTTAGTTTTTGATGGATTTCAATAATCAGGTGAGTGACCACCTGTCAAAGGTCCTTAAAGAACAGGGGAAAACAGTTCCTTCCTTCCCCTTCATTTGTTTCTCTCATCTATATGACAACAAGACTCAACACCAAGAAGTCCTGCTCTTACATCTTTCTTTCTATACCCCTCACCCCCACAGAAGCTTCTAGCCTTGTTATCTTCAGAAGTTCCCAGGAGCTGGGAAAGGGCAGTTTAGAATGATGTTGGAGAAAGAGAGAATGATCCTGAAGAACCATAAAAAGGTACAGATTTACAGCTGAGGAAGCTAGTTCCCTCCATATCTTTTATAGACTCCCTCATTAAGAGCTTCCAGGTATGCAGAGAATGTCACGGTTTTGGGACAGAAAAGAGAAGCCTCAGCCAGCTCACCACACCTAGATCTTGGATCAGCTACACTAGGGAGACCCAAGGATAGGAAGGAAGGTTACAAGATTCCAGATAAAAGGATTGGAAGCCTAGATGCATGTTAATGCCTTTAAAAGGGACTTACTATTTAAAGACTAAATTAGTAAAAGAAACGAACTATTCATGTTCAAAAACCATGTGTAGAACGACTATGAAATAGGAAGAGCAACATTTGGTGATCAGGTTTAGAAGTGAAAGACTTCTGACCAACATAAGTAAGAAGAGCTGCAGGAATGAGATAAAAGTTAGTAAAAAATCCATACTATCAAGGATTTGGGCAAAGTGAGTTGAGTTGGGGAAAAGAATGATTAGGCTTTAGAAAGAGAATCCTGAGGGGGAGACTGAGTGCTTTTATGGAAGGTTACGAAGGAGGCAAAGTAAACTTCTGAAGGATCTATTGCTCCAATCCATTATCACCATCTGTTCCATTCCTTTACCTATTACTACTTTTTATCATCCTTGGGTAGAAAACCCTAACTGAATCTGTAACCGCTCTGGAGGTGCAAAACAAAACTAATTCTCTCTGGTTCTCTTTTTAGAAGGGAGAGGAAAAGCTAGCCTCAATTCAGGGCCTGGAAAAAAGAAAAGAGAGGCAGACAGAAGAGGCCAGAGGAAGGAAAAGTTTAACCAGGATTCCCTTTTGTTCACTTTTCTAAAGTCTCAGAGTGGGGCAAAACTCACAACAAACGGGCAATATTTGGATTTACTCTCCAAGGCGGTTTTCCTAAAGTGTCTAAACCTAGGTCCCTGTCCTCCTCAGCAACCAGAGAGACTTTGTGCAAAGAGTTTCTTGTTAGGAAGGGGGACAAACCATTAATGTCTATTAATCACAAAACGAGACAGGTGGCAGTAGAAATGGGAACAAAGAATTACACTACAGCAACACAGGATCCTATTATGATACCAAAACCTTCAGCTAAGGAGCCAGGCTCTTAAGATTAAATAGCAGGTCTCAGATCTAAGTAAAACTTCAAATACAAACATGCAGCCTGCTTAGGGCAAGCCAAACCTTTCTAAGTAGGAGCCTAAGCAAAGTACAATGGATTTTAGTCATATCTAAGATACGTTAGCACCAAAACTGCAATAGTATACTTGCTAGCAAAGGGCCTGATTAGAAAGTAGAAGCCTCCGGTCCACTGCTTGTATTCCCAATGATCTAGGCAACAATGCTCAACACCTCTGACATCCTGTCAGGCTTTGATTCCCTATACCTCCTTCTGGCTTGGAGGGGTACCCAGCCCATCTCCTTTACTGAATTGCCTAACCAACTCCCACATATTGGCTTTGGCTGAAACCAGGCAGTACACACCAGGTCACTTTTGAAAATAGGGCCTTTCTGGACTCCAGACAGGGACTCTGGACTCTATTCTATAACAGACTACCAATCATTAGCCCTTGGATTTAAATCCTTTGCAACTCCTAAAACCCAGTGTTTTCCCTATTTCATCCCAATGAATCACATGAACCTGCTGAAGCAAAGACTCAGGGTGAAATCTGGCCTCTTCATGGAGGATAAAGAGGTAAAAGGATGCCTGTGAATGAGACTATAAATAGGCTTAAAGGGATGGACTCAATCCTTTTCCTTATCATCTTTTCTAATGGGTACAAAGGCATTATGGACTAACTCCGTATATTTGTCCCTGAAGTTTCTCATATCTCATCTAATTTGGTTCTAAAAACTCAAAGGAGCACCTCATAAAACACACTGTTCTCTTTTCTATTTTTTTTATTAACAAGCAAAATAATAATTAAAAAAAAACAACACAACAACCACAATCTTAAAGTTGGAACAGCAATAAGTCAAATTGCTACTGTAGTTCACAGGTGTGCCTGGGGTACATGTTCTCCTATTGCGAGGCAGGACCTAGGCACATAACTCTGTATTTAGGTATATATGTGACCAACAAAATCAGAGAGATGGAAACCACTGGAGAACAGAAAACAAGAGTTTCTCATCAGGCAATCCCAAAGCGCTCTGCTCTTTTCCTCTTCTTTGCCTATAAGGAAGAAGCAAGAAGAAAAAAAAAATTAGAATGCAAGATGACAGTGACCTAGGTTCCTGGCTGCTTTAATCCAAACTCACATGGACTGTCACAAGGTCCAAGAAGAAGGGAAGGCCCAGGCTTAAGCTTGGCAGCCAAAGACTTCATTCCTGAATTTCTCTTGTTACCCAGTTAGAGCTGGGGGAAGTTTGGTGGAAAAGGAGGGTGAGAAGGGGAGAAGATTGTAAGGAGTCGGGGTGGGGGGAGGGAGAGGAAGAAGAAAATAGTAGCAGAAAATGGAAAGATTCCTGAAGGCAGCCAGCCTTGTAGCAAGTTAGCTAGGAAACAATGGACTTGTAACAGACTGGGGAAAGTCTTCTGGTCAGTGAAGAGATGGGAGATCAGAGGACAAAGGGTTGACCAATGCTATTTTGGGGAGGTGAAGGGAATGCCCTTTTGGGCCCATGCAGCAGCTATTTGTTAGGCCACCAAATACAAAGAGAATAAAAGGCCAACATAAGTGGGGAGAGGAGGGGAGTCCCCAACATGTATCTCTTAAGGGAGGAAACATTTGAGAAATGGCACAAAATGCGGTGAGGAGAGAAAAACATTTTTGTCCTAAGAATGACTCAAACAGCACTGAATCCATCCTTACTCCAACCACTGCCCCCAGCAAAAGGGGGCTTCTTTTTCATTCCATTCACACAGGAGGTTTAATTGAAATTAAAGAGAAAAGCCGAGTGTTTACAGACCCAGACCACTCAATGTGGATTATTAACACAATTCTTTGGAATCAAATAAAAGTCATCTGGTTCATATAAACTCCATGAGCCTCAGAAGCTACTTTCTTACATACACTGACTCAACAAAAGCTGATATTCCTTGCCATCCAACAAAATCCTAATCTGCCTTATCTTGCAGAGGCCAAATGTACCAGCTTAGTGAGCATGTCTAGTTTAACAGTATCCTTGGGAAAGAGGGAGTAATTTTAACTGGAATTAACACAAATCTAGGTTTATGGTTTACTTCTAGCTCATCCTGGCTAGTCATTAAGTAAGCAGATACTAACAACAGGTAATGATTTATTCTGAATTAGCACCAAAAACACAAACCCGTTTAGTTTTTCCCTAATGAAGAATGTAAACTGATTGGACTCTAAAATTTTCAGGGTTTGTTTTTATTATTCCTAAAGAAACTTAAGATGTTGAGTGTGCGAGGATAATAGATTTTCAGAAGATACCTCCAGAGGTAGATGGAAAAAAGGAAGTAAGTTTGGATTAAATGAGAGCAAGAATATTCCAAATTCCTCAACACCCAAAAAATTTCTGTAATTCAAAACATATTTATTATTTCAAATGTTCCCTATGTACACTTTAGGCAACACTTGGTCTCCATTATACTGGGTTGGCCAAAAAGTCTGTTTAGTTTTTTTCCCCATAAAATAAAAGACATTAATTTTTATTTTCACCAATAACTTTATTGATTTGGGTATGTTGAGCAAGTCGGTTATTTTCCGCCATTGGCTTCTAGTGGGTACAGGCTAGGGCTGCTGCTAAACATCTTCCAATGCATTAGACAGCCCCACAGCAAAGAATTACTTGGCCAAAATGTCAGTAGTACCAAGAAACTTTGCAACCACTTTTGACACATTCAACCAGTGACAGGGCCTTCTCTATACACTGCACAAATCTTTTTTTTTGCATTTCAGTTGCAATTTTACCTTTAAAAAAAAAGAAAAGATTTTATCTATTTATTTTTAGAGACAGTGGAAGGGAGGGAGGAAGAGAAGGTGAGAAACATCCATGTGCAAGAGAAACAGTGATTGGGGACTTGGCATGAAACTCATGTGTGTGCCCTGACTGGGAATTGAACCAGCAACCTTTCAGTTCGCAGACTGGTGCTAAATTCACTGAGTCACATCAGCCAGGACATGTTTTTACCCTTCTTGAAATAATAAAGCATAATACACTGCAAATGTTGCATATTTTCTTCTGTCTTCAATATTAAAATGGATGCACAGAAATTCACCAATTTTGTTACGTTAAAAAAAAAAAAAAAAAAAGCATGCTGAGCCTTGGCTGGTGTGGCTGAGTGGACTGAGGGCCTGCCTGCAAACCGAAAGGTCGCTGGTTCAATTCCTAGTCAGGACACATGCCTGGGTTGTAGGCCAGGTCCCCAGTTGGGAGTGTGTGAGGGGCAAAAGATCCATGTATCTCTCACACATTTATGTTTCATTCTTTCTCCCTCCCTTCCCCTCTCTAAAAAATAAATAAAATCATTTTTTAAAAAAATGCATGCTGATATGACAGCTGCCACAATACAATTTTAACAAAGTTGTTTTGAATGAACTCTTTAAGCACTACTAGAGACATCGTATGAAAATACTAAAAAAACTTTTGGCCAGCGCAATAAATACTTTCAAATCAGCAAATCAATATTGTCTATCAATGTTCTGAGCAATCTTTCAATGTTTAGGAGTCTCAGTGAATGTGAGTTACTCCAGAGGAAGATGGAATATGGATGAACACAAGTCTTAATTTAAAAAAAAGAGAGAGAGACAAAGAGAAAGAGACGGACTGACTTCCAGTCAAGATGGCAGCATAGGCAGACATGGCTTACGTGTTTACACAACCACATCAAATTTACAACTAAATATAAAACAACCTGATCACTCAGAACCGTCAGAAATTGAGCTGAATGGAAGTCTGACAACTACAGAATTAAAGAAATCACATCCATCCAAATTGGTAGTGGTGCAAACATGGAAAGGGGCTGGTCCCACACCCATGAGTGGTAGATAAAAATTCTGAAGGGGTATCTCGAGAGCGAGGAGTCCCTGCTCCACATTAGGCTCCCTAACACTCCAGCACCAGGAAGATAAGGCCCCACAACTTCTGGCTGCAACAACCAGTGGAGACCGAGTCAGTGGAAGAAACTGCTGGCACCCCAAGCAGTTCCTCTTAAAAGAACCCACACACGGACTCACCTACTCAGACTCACTCTTTCTGAGCTCCAGTACTGGGTAGCAGCCTGAAAAGCACAGTGGCATACTGTGAGAAACTGAAGTGTCTGGCATCAAGGCAAGCACAGGCCATTGTCCATTTTCTAAACCCTCCCTGCACAGAGCCAGAGAGCCAGCAAGCTGGTGCCATATCTGAGATTCCATCTACCTGGCTAACACTGCTTAATCTGCCTTGGAGAGCCTCAGAGACTCTGCCCCACCCAAGCTGCTTTTCCATATGAATGGCTGATCTTGGCTTACACTATACAACTTCCCAAATCCTCTCAAACAACAGCTGGACTCAGCAAGCCCCAGGATCCACACTAGCAGCAGCCAGCTTAGGTTCACAGTCTGGCTTCTTCACCTGGGAATCCCCAAGCCCAGCACAAGTAGCAGCCATTTCAGATTACTTTACAGCACAGGCAGGGTGGCCCAAGGCAAAACACAGGTGATGGTTGACCCTGGCCTGCACCACCTGGGAAACCCCAGGGCCAGTGCACCCAGTGGACAGCTACAGACCACGTCAGAGCCCCACCAATCCTGCTGGTGCACAGCTGATCCTCCACGGAGGGCGGAGGTTGGTGGTCAGTGGTCATAGCCAGTCCTTGTAGCTGACTGAACTGAGTGAATCCCTCCCACTGATCTGCCAACAACAACCAAGGCTCAACTGCAAGAGCAGGGTATATTCAGCCCACACAAAGGGCACACCTGAGTAACCAACTAGATGATAAGGGAGGCTGTGACAATGAACCCTACCTACAGGACACCTACTACATTAGGCCATACTACCAAGACACGGAGTCAAAACAACTCTATCTAATAATACACAGAAACAAACACAGGGAGGCTGCCAAAATGAGGAGACAAAGAAACATGGCCCAAATTAAAGAACAGACCAAAACTCCAGAAAAAGAGCTAAACGAAATGGAGATAAGCAATCTATCAGATGCTGAGTTCAAAACACTGATTATAAGGATGCTCAAGGAACTTAGTGAGGACCTGAGAAGCATAAAAAAGATCCAGTCAGAAATGAAGGACACATTAATTGAAATAAACAACAATTTACAGGGAAACAACAGTAGAGTGGATGAAGCCGAGAATCAAATCAATGATTTGGAACATAAAGGAGCAAGAAACAACTAATCAGAACAACAAAAGAAGAAAAAAATCCAAAAATATGAGGATAGTAGTTCTCTAGGAAAACTTTAGGAGGTCCAACATTTGCATCATAGGTGTGCCAGAAGAAGAGAAAGAGCAAGAAATCAAAAATCTATTTGAAAGAACAGTGAAAGACAACTTCCCTAATTTGGTGAAGGAAACAGACATGCAAGTTGAGGAAGCAGAGAGAGTCCCAAAGAAGATGGATGCAAAGGGACCCACTCCAAGATACATCATAATTAAAATGCCAAATGTTAAAAGACAAATAGAGAATCTTAAAAGCAGGAAAAGAAAAGAAGTTAGTTCTAAAGGGGAGTCCCTATAAGACTGTCAGCTGATTTCTCACAAGAAACTCTGCAGGTTAAAAGGGATTGGCAGGACATATTCAAAGTAATGAAAAGCAGAGACCTACAGTCAAAATTGCTCTACCCAGCAAACATATCATTTAAAATTGAAGGGCAGATAAAGAGCTTCCCAGACAAGAAAAACTAAAGTTCATCATCACCAAACCATTATTATATGAAATGTTAAAGGGACTTACTTAAGAAAATAACAAGATTAAAATCATGAACAATAAAATGACAAAAATATGTATCAACAATTGAATCTAAAAAAAACAAATTAAGCAAACAAGAAGCAAAGAGAGAGAATCACAGATGGAGGGGAGTTAGGTGGTGGAGGGATTAAGCAAAAAGGAAAACGTGTTCATGGATATGGACAACAGTGTGGTGATTGCTGGGGGGAGAGGGTATAAGGGGACTAAATGGCAATGAAAAAATATAATAAAGTTTAAATTAAAAGGAAAAAAGAATTATGGTTACAGAGAGCATTTTCATGGTTGCCAGATGAGAGTGGGGTGTCAGGGAAGAGGTGAAGAGGTGAGGGGATTAAGAAATACAAACAGGGCTCTGGCTCGTGTGGCTCAGTGGATTGAGTGCTGGCCTGTGGACTAAAAGGCTATCAGTTCCATTCCCAGTCAGGCCACACGCCTAGGTTGTGGGCCAGGTCCCCAGTTGAGGGCATGTGATATGCAATCAATTGATCTATTTCTCACACATCAACTTTTTTCTCCCTTTTTCCCTCCCTTCACCGGTCTCTAAAAATAAGTAAAATCTAAAAAAAGAAATACAAATAGGTAGTTACAGAATAGCCACGGGGATATATAAGTACGGTACAGAAAATGGAATAACCAAAGAATTTACACACATGACCCATGGACATGAACAATGTTGGGGGGATTGCCTGAGGGAACAGAGGGTGCTCGGTAAAGGGGTGAAAGGGGGAAAAATCAGGATGACCGTAACAGCATAATTAATAAAATATAATTTAAAAAAATTTTAAATATAAAAAACAAAAACAAAAAAATCAAAAAACAAAAAAAGTGCTACTTTCATGTTGAGAAACTACCTGTAAATAAAGTGGTAAGACCAGGATGTATCATGAGTCAAATTGTCCTATTCCAGAGGGGAGTTAGGCACAATTATACCTGTGTCTGGGTCAGAGAGTCTTCATTAAATAGTTCAAGAAATATGCCTGGCAGATTATCAAACACATTACTACTTATTGAATACTCAAAGAATGACAGGTGTTGTCGTGTTAAGTGTTCTATATAAAATCATTCCTTTTTATGCAGAAATATTTCATGCTTAAACTACTACTTCAAAGTAGGTATTACTCTCTCTACCTCCCAGATGATGAAACTGAGGCCAAGAAAAGTACCGTAACTTGTAAATATTCTGTAATACTAAGCGGCTCAGCCACTTTTCAAATCCAAGCTTATTTGATTCCAAATCTTGTTCTCCCTCCTACCAGACTAACTGGTTCTAACACTGAATAAAGTATATTGATAGAATTCTGTGGCCACTTTATCCAGAAAACACTTTCAAGCAAGGACAAAAGATTTTGCCATTTGAGCATTTAAGAAGCAGGCTGGAGAAACAATAGTGTCTCTCCACTCGTTTGCTCACCCCCTTTTCCCTTCAAGGGCTCTATGAAGCATGTATGTATTTTTTTACCTCTGTATCCTCTGTGGTTCCTGTTCCAGCTGAACTTGTTACAATTCCAAATCGCTCCTTCCTCTTTTTCAGTTTCTCATCATCTTCAGACTGTTCAGGGACAAAGGAAAGGGTTGAAACAAGCTAGCCTCCATTAACAAGGTAAATGGGAATTAAACTACAATTTATGGATCACAATATGCCAGCCAACCTTGTGGTAAGAACTAAGGATCACACAAACAGAAAAAAATAAGATAAGAAACTGAATAAGCTAACATACAACATGTTGTCCTTAAAATAAACAAAAACTTTAAGAACAGCTTGAAGATCCTGGAGGACCCCGGTGTTGCTGACAGGACCTTGGAAGCTCAGGAAGATCAAGAAGCTGATCAAGTAAAAGCTTGGAGGCAGCCCTTAGCAATGGCACAAACGTAATATTAATCATTCCTCCCAAAGACCAGATTTCACCAGTGGCAAAAATGTCGCCAGAGTTTGGAACTGTATAACATAAAGCCATGAGTAAACCACCTGGGAGGCATTACATTTGTATAACAAAGACTCAAACTTTAAAACAAAATACCTCCTAATGGCTTGGCTGTTTATTGTGGTACAACTTTGTAACAGAATAAGGAAAAGAAAGTCAACATTGACACAGAACTTTTGAAACAAATTAATGCATTATTGTATTTGTGTGACAACAAATTCCATAAAGTTCTTCCAGCACTACTTTCAGATGATAGCAAGTTTGGATTCATTGTAATAAATGGTAGTGGTACACTTTTCGGCACACTCCAAGGAAATACAAGAGAAGTCCTGCACATATTCACTGTGGATCTCCCAAAGAAACACGGAGGAGGTCAGTCAGCCTTGCGTTTTGCCAGTTTAAGAATGGAAAAGCGACATAGCCATGTCAGAAAGCAGCTGAGACGGCTGTGCAACTGTTTATTTCTGGGGACAAAAAATGTGGCTAGTCTCATCTGGCTGGATCAGCTGACTTTGAAACTGAACTGAGTCAATCTTATGTTTGATGAGAGGCTGTAGCCAAAAGTTTTAAAATTAGCTGATATATCCTATGGAGGTGAAAATGGATTCAACCAAACTATTGAATTATCTATTGAAGCCCTTTCTAATGTGAAATTCATTCAAAAGAAGAAATTAATAGGATGATACTTTGATAGTGAGACAGGACATGGAGGAGAAAATTCTCTATTTAATTCCAGAACAAGAGAAGGATAAATCTCATTTCAAGGGCAAAGAGACAGGATAAGAACAGAAACCAACTGAGATCATGCCTGCTGGAATCGTTTGCTAACTATTTGGAGCTAGAATGGAAATTGCCACAGATAGGTCACAAGAAGGATCCCAACTTGTGAAAGGATCTGCTGAACTGTGGTATGGAGTAGATTTCCAGGGAATGGAATATCAAGGAGATAATGAATTTTTTGAACTTGATGACTACTGAGAGCTGACATGGGTCTTGCAAAATGTGCCTCACCCTCCAGCATCTAACCCCAAGGAACATACCCATGGTGAAATCCAAACACATCCCTTCCTTACAACTGGAACATCTCCAGAACTCACTCCACAAGTATTGGATATTGAAAAGAAAAATGAAGCAAAATCAGACCCAATCCCTATACTTTGCCTTGTCATGGTTTCAGCACTGGAGCCTACAACTAAATTCCTAAATACAAATTTGGAATAATTTAAATGAGAATCCCAGTTTTCGACCCTGGCTGGTGTGGATCAGTGTATGGAGTGCCGGCCTGTGAACCAAAGGGTCACTGGTTCTATTGCTAGTCAGGGCACATGCCTCGTTCAGGGCCAAGTTCCCAGTTGGGGGTATGCAAGAGGTAACCGATTGATCTCTCACACAACAATGCTTCTCTCCCTCGCTTTATCCCTCCCTTCCCCTCTCTCTAAAAATAAATAAAGTCCTTTTTTTTCAATCCCAGTTTTCACTTTTACTCAATGGTAACATTGGTTGCTCTTACATTTTATGGAAAAAATTGTAATTTTTTAACCGTCATACACAGAAGCAAAAATAACTGCTGTAAACCTTCAAAATTTAACAGAAACGAGATATTTTAAAAGAGTAGGGACTCAGTAATAACGAGTAAAAAAAATCCAAACAAAAAAAAACAGTAAGAAATATCCATAAAACAAATTTCTATGCTGAAGAAATTTCTGTAGTGTAGAGACTTGGGTTGTTAAACAAATTGAGCAAGGAAAGCTGGACAGCTGCCGTGCATTTGACCAAAGAAGAGGCTTCTATGATCATAGTTTGTTTAAAGGTAACTCCTTGGTTGGGGTCAACAGTAGAGGTATTTAAAAATTTCTGTTACTATAGATCTGTTCATTGCCTTTCCTTTTCACTGTGGATCTTGGGACACCCAGAGACACAGTCTGCCTGCAAACTGCAGGAATATGAACTCCTTGTGGGGTGGGGGGGGGGGAGGGAGGGAGGGAGGGAGGGAGGAAGGAAGGGAGGGAGGGAGGAAGGAAGGAAGGAAGGGAGGGAGGGAGGGAGGGAGGGAGGGAGGGGGAAGGAAGGAAGGAAGGAAGGAAGGAATCCAACTCAGGAACACTGCACAGAAGCTTTGTTCAAAAGTTTGGCCCTGGCCAGGTAGGTCAGTTGGCTGCAGTGTTGTCCCAATATGCCAAAGTTGAGGGTTCGATCCCCAGTCAGGGCACATGCCTGGGTTGTGAGCCACATCCTCATTAAGGGGCGTGCAAGAGGCAACCACATACTGACATTTCTCTCCCTCTCTGCCTTCTCTTCTAAAAATAAATAAAATCTTAAAAAAAAAAAAAAATCAACCAGTGAATTCATGAATAGATGGAACAACAAACTCATGTTTCTCTCTCTCCCTAACCCTCTCTCTAAAATCAATCAAAATAAAGTTTGTTTGAAATCTTTTGACCTGACCTTATGTTGGTTACCAAAGAAATTAACCTGGCCCATAGTGAGGGTATGTGCGCATGTAGTAGAGGGTCTCTTGACATGTATGAGAGAACAGATTCTTTGTTTAGATGTGCCAAGTTCAGGGAAAGGGTTGGGGCAGGGAGAGATGAGACACCCAGGGAGCCCACCTGAGTTTAGATGTTTACTAATTCCAGGGCTAGGCTTTTGATTACTGGTGAATAGGTATGCAGGGAAGGAAAGAAATGAGAAAATATCTGTTAAAGTGAGATAAATAAAATAGCAGATTTTAGGTTCTGATGGGAATATGTATGAGACTCTTACATTGAACAGTACTGGATGTGAACAGTAGCAGCTCAGTCTTTAAAACAGCTCTAGGAGAATGGCCAGCTTCAATTCTAATTCAGTGAGCTGAAACATTATCTCTAGTTACAGGGCAGGCACCATGAGTCTCTTGGATGCTTGGAAAAGATGCAGAGCATCTCTCTCTTTAGAGAGTTGGCTGCAGCTGGTTCCTTGACTCACCTTATTGCGAAATAATTTCAAACTATTCAGAGCTCTTTCAGTTTGAGAAACATGTTCATTTTCTCCCTTTTGCTGCACTTGCTTTTTCAGGTTGGTGGTTATGAAGGACTGAAAAACCCTACATATCAGTTATCATTTAATTATATTCTATTAATAACTAGAATATAGCCTACATAATTTTTCTGCCTTTTTCATTATAACCATCAACAAATCTGTAGTGGCTCCATAATTAATATAAACTACTATAAAACATTGAGCCAGGTTTTAAGAAAAAAAGTATCTTGTCTTTAACTTTAAAAATCATAAATTAACAAAATATTATAGCCACTAACATTTGAGTGCTTACTATGTGCCAGGTACTACATGAAGTTCTTTACAGGTAATATCTCATTTACTCCTTACAGCAATTTTAAAAATAGTAGGTACTATGACTAAATTCATTTAATAGATAAGAAAATCAAGGCTTAAAGAGATTATGTAATTTGCCCAAAGTTTCACAAATAGTCTTACGGAGTAAGTGGGAGAGGTAGGAATGAAAGCCAGGATATTTTAGCCCCTTTCCTAACTTTACTATCTCCTCAGATATCTCACATAGGCATTTCTTTGGAACAACAGTAGCAGAGTGGAAGAAGTGCTTAATTCCCATGGGATAAGGATTAGTAGGATCCTTAGGTAAAAGTAGTTGTGAACTACTTTAATGATTTCCATATCACTCAAATAACTTGACTCAATGTTAGGATCCTATCCTCTTTCAACCATACCAAATGCCTTCACTATATAACTATATAGGGATCTAAGGAAAGGACTGTCATTAGTAATTTTATTCTAAACATTTTTCTCAACCAAATTTGTTTCTAATTCTGGCTAGTTGGTTATTCCATCTTCTGACCTGTAATAAAAAAAATTAGGGTTTCCAATGAATATAGGCCTTACTACATTTTTCCTTACCTAAGTTAGTAGGAAAAGCTTTGTCTACCATGTAAATGGAAATTTCAAAACAAGAGCCTCTAAAGAATATTCTAGATAAAGTATCCCCATTTCACTAAGTCTCCAGGCCAAGCAAGAAAAGAGTTTTAAGGGAAATAAAAAGAACGTTCCATACTCTTCTCAGGGAGAGACAGGACTACCACACCACGTACTTTTTCCCATTCTATTCAATGCTGGGGGTACTTCAGTCAATTCAAATTACAGAGAGGGAGATGCTACCTGAAACCCAGCCTTTCTCTCTCTCAGCACAAACCCTGGGGCCACTCTTCACAAATCTCCATTCAGAATGTGTGGGACCACCTTTATTTTGGTCCACTATTTTGCTATATCCAGAAATGGGAATTTTGATTTCTAAATTAAATTTCCTGTGTTTCCTTTTGAGCTCAAACGTGAGGCAAGAACAAGGGAGGAAAAAGAATGGAGGGAGGAGAGAATATACTTCTCTAACCACTAGGGATAGTATCAGAGATTTCCCCATGAGCTTCCTTAAAAAAGAAAAAAAAGAAAAAAAAATTCCTCACCCAGGGATATATTTATTGATTTTTTGAGAAAAAGGAAGGGAGAGAGAAACATCAACTGATTGCCTCCCATATGTGCCTCAACTAGGACTGAACCTGCAACCTATGTATGTGCCCAGACCAGGGATTGAACTGACCACCTTTTGGTACACAGGATA